TATATAAGATTATTTTACCTTTTCCCATTCAGGATTTTTGTATATTGGGTGTTATATCAGTGGACATGTATTGACTGGCCTCAATACTTTGGAAGATCATGTGCTCCTAAGTAGATTTTTTTGCATTTTTATGTAAAAGAGTAATGAAGGTAAGCTATCGATTTCATCCTAAGGATTGCAAATCAAAATGTTCACACCTTTTCCTCTGGTGAACTCACTCCTGGCTCAGTGCAAAGAGGACACAGGGGAAAAATTTCTGTAGTGCAAATGAAGCAAGGTTTACTGGGCAAGGGGAGCAATCCTGCTGAGGTGGCTTTAAAAAGTGTTTTCAAGATAAAAATAAGATTGTTATTTGTGTATCTTACCTAAAAGAGAAAAATAAATAAAGACAGCCCCTAACAACTTTCATACATGTAATCATGTATGAGATATGAATGGTAAGAATTAGCTGTACCCTTCTTTTTTTAAAAAAGCCTATAATCTCCTGAAAACCTCAGGAATCCTTCCATCACTCTCCACTACACACAGCATTTTAACTCAGTTTTATTTCCCCACAGTTTAGTTTCTAAGACATTACTAATGTCTAGTTGTGTCTAGAGAATTGAGAATGAAGCATTTATTATGTCCAGCATATATCAAGAAGCCCCTCACCTTAGTTGATTTCAGAGAATATGGATGGAGTGTTTTTAGCACCCAACGCTGAATAATCCCTACATGCACACAGTTCATCTGTTCAGAAGAGGAAATTTGCATAACTTGGAACAGCTTGCTTGCATCATCCCATTTCTCTCCACATGCATTCATTAAGTTTGCATGTTAGGAATTCTCAAACAAAATCCCACCTTCTGATACCTACCACAAGTTCCTAACATGATATTTGTGCAACTCCCACCCTCCTCCCCAAGAATAGAGCAAATATTTCATTGGTGCTATGATTAGGGAAGAAATAAATATGCATATTAATTTAACTTATATAGCATATAGAACAATGACAGTATCTTACAATTTTATGAAATAAATCTATTTCATATTGATTGTTTATCATTACACAATTCCTGACGTAGCAGTTTCATTTTGAAGACTGCCACTGTCATTCACCAAACTCAGATTAAAGGGTTGTGGGGGAGAGAGAAAGGCATTTTCATGCCTTTAAATAATCTCAAATTGCTTGTAAAATATTGCAGCTTGCTAAACAGCGGTGAGCTTTTTAAGTTGCTTTTGGCTTTCTTTGCAGAGCCAGGCTAGGATAATCATTGCATCTTCCTTCCCTTCCAGCCTCCTTTGTAAATCTCTCCTTCCACTCTTCCCGTTTCCCTCCCTTTCACTCTGCCGTGATTCTCTCTGCATAGAGAGTGTCAGGTGAGATGACCAGAGCTTTCCATGTATACTTTTTAAATTCAGGAGCAACAGAAATGTACTGTATATCGTACTACTGCTTTTTCTTTTAACAGTGCTGGGAGTTGGGCTGAAAGAAGACCCTGTGAATGTCTATGAAAGTATACTTGAATTTGGATCTTCCTGATATTAGTCCAGTATCTTAATTAGAAGACTACATTGGCTCTCTAGGCATAAAAGCAATTAGTTAATTAAATACTGCTGAGTTGGTGCCCCCTGATGTACAGAGAAATGTGCAGGATTTTGACCTGTTCCTTTTAGTAACCTGTAACTTTTCTAAAGCCATTACCAGTAATCTCTTTGAGCTTGCCTACCTGCCTTAGTCATTGTCATCTTGACTTTGCAAAGCAGAATCATGCTTTTCTAATTCCTATATCTGTTCACATAGTGTGCCCAAATTATGGGAGCAGTGCCTTCAAATTAAGAAGACATGGTTTTTCATTATTCTAAAGCTACATCAAAGTGTAGCTTGTTCACATAAAAGATGAAGGCATATTACAGTTTCATTCTGATGAAAGTACACTTGTTACTTTTGATTATATTGGAGAAGATATTTTTCTCCCTTGTGTTTGTATAGAAATGAAATATCTCATTTCTGAAACGTGGTTAGGACATAAAGAAAACCTCTTTATCTCAGTTGGGTAACCAAATCAATTATGAACCATTTCCCTCCTTCAGAGGTAAATGCATCCTACAACTATTTATTGACTGCAAGACAATGCATGGTTATTTGCAAACATGAAATACGTGCAGATTGTTTGTTTTATGGGTTTTCAATCTCTTATAAACTGTTTTGAGGATTTTTAAACAAACAAAATATTCAAAGTGACTCCAATCTCAAACCAGGTTTACACCTACATCTCTCAATGATGAACCCCTGATTTTTTTAAATGTTACATTTGTATATGTTTTTATTTTTTCTTTATTGAAATGTATTTATTTTTCTTTATTGAAATTTATTTATTTTTCTTTATATTTATTATTTTTCTTTATTGAAATTCAGGCAATTGCTTTACAAGTAGATAGTGGGTCCTATGTTCTCTGAAACCACTCAAATAAGATGAAGCTTTCCATATTTCATCTAAAAAAAGAGCTTTTGGCTCATCCACAGTGGAGATGGCAACGTCCAATTTTGTTTTGAGATTACAGGCAAAGTACTTTGGCTTGTGTACAGTAATCAGCAGACTTTGGCTTTTTAATTCCCTGAAAAAGCAAGTGTCTTTCCTTCTAAAAACAGTATTCGGGAGCGTTGGTTCTACAAGTAACCTGACCCTCTGCTATGTAGGGCTTTAAAGGTGATAACGAGCACTTTGAATTGCAAGTGGAAGGCAGTGCAGTTTATACAGCAGTAATGTTACCATGTGATCATCCAAGCTGAATGTGCTACTGCATTCTGGATTAGTTGCAGCTTCTGGATGGTCTTCCAAGGGCTACTCCATGTAGAGTGCATCAGTCAGCACACGATAGATTTATACAAAAGTCCCCCTGGCCATGAGTCCAAGTTGACCCTCAAATTCTGCACCCCCATCTGTATGAGGGAGTGTTACCCCATCCAGAGTCTGAGATATCAACTCTCTTGACCCCAGAAGGTCAACCACCCTATCTTGCTGGGTTGACTCTGAGGGAGAGGAGGAACAGCCGACAGGAAGTGGAAGTGTGGCTCCGGAGGTTGTGGAGGATGCTGGGGAAGGGCAGAGGCTGGCTGAGCAGTCAGAGGAGGACCCAGGCCCATCCCCTATCCATCCTAGGGCACGCAGGGAGGAGAGGATAAGGAAGAGATGTGGTCTACTCGGGAGGAGAAGGCCTTGATCCTCTTCATGGGCTGTAGCTGTGACAACTGTATAAGAGTATGGACCTACATATGGGCGAATGCTGGAAACAAAGTGTGGAAATATCTCTAGTTTATGCTTTCTCTCTGAGTTTGTTGTCCTTCTCAGTGTGTGTTATCTGTGAATGTCCTCCAACCCTTATCTTGCCTGGTTTGTGTTGCTTTTTCCCTTCTTCTTGTAACTATTTGTGTGGGAGGTTTTTTTTTTGCTTCAGTCAAGAATATTTAGAGCTTGGAAGTAAAGTGAAGGAATAAAAGGGGCTTCACCTGTTTTCTGTGACTGTATTTGTTTTGTATCCCACCCTGGGTCATCACAGTTGACTTGTAGCTGGTGTCTTCCCATCCACGCCCTTACAACTTCCAGCCAGACTAAGCCAGCATCTGAATAGTTTCACAGCATTATGAAACTATTAAATTGTGAAAATAATTTAAATGAAAAGCAGTCCACTCTTATTTCTTGGGATAAGTAGAAAGAAAAGGAGGGAGAAGGAAAAGAAAAAAGATATATTTTAACCAACATTATTCAACAAACCTCTCCATAATTTTTTAAAATCTATCTCTCATCAATTTCATCAAATTACAACTTTTCTAATCTTCCCCCTCCTCTCGGGGCCTTTTCACAATTCCTTTACATAAAGTTCTACTTTATCATACCCAAGGCCAGCAGTAATTATGCTATATATTTGGCAGTTTGATCCTCATTTGTTCTGTTTATGTGACCATACCATCTTGATGTGCTTTTTGGTATGCATTCGTTTTTGAGCCAATCCCTTCTGTTTCTACAAAAATGCATTTTTAACATAGCACATTTATAACACATTCAGCTTAGTTTTATATTTCACCTGACATACCCAGTTTTCAGTTCCATGTGACAAAGTATGCTACCATGTACTTGCAATTTTTTAAAAGAAACATTCATTCTCTTAATTCTCATTTTCATTCATTCTCATAGCACCCACCATCTTTTGGCCAGCATTCTATCCCATAAATTGACTCCTTCCATTTTCCTCTACCTGCCAACTTCTTATAAGTAAAGTCAGTGGAGAAGCACATTGCCACTGGGTTGTTGTTGTTTTTTTTTTTGGGGGGGGGGGTTCCCCCACCCATGGCCATTCTGTTTCTCTATTTTAAGTAAGGAAATATCCTTGAAAGGTTGGCTCAATTGGCCATGGGCTATCCAGTTAAATAACAAAGGGGATCTTACACATTTTTTATCCTGGTTCAGTGTTGGAACTAATTGTCACCTGCATGTTTTACTTGCATTCTGTGCTACTCTTATCACATTCATCAACTAACCTTCAACTCCACATTCACATAAAATGTTCCATAATTCAAGTTTACCATATACTTTATCTAAATCAAAAAGCATGCAATAAATTTTACTACTTCGTTGCTTCCTTTGCCGATACCTGACATTTCTACTTGTATTTTCAATATAATGATCAGATAATAAGTCTTCTTGTTTCCTACTGATTTCCTGAATAATATCAAAATGTTATCCTACTTTAGAAAATTTAATACAGTGCTTATCTTCTTCAGTTTTAATTCAGATATGCTTTTTTCCCACCAGAGTTTTACTTTTATACTAAATAAAACAATTTTTGGTTGTAGAAATGTTTTGAAATCTAAGGTCAAACCTCTGTAGTAGTTTTGCAAAACCCTGAAGGAAGCGGGATCAAGTATATTATTCTTGTACTGCCCAAAATTAATAGAGGTCTTAAGGTTATTGGGACCAGCGTTATCATTGCTAAACAACGCAGTCTTAAAATGTGACATCATGTCACATTTTGCAGTCCCAATTGCCATTATAATCCCAGGAAGTGTGAGTCATTAAGCGGGAAGAGGCAGGAGCACAAGGGGTGCATGGGTGCCATGTGAGAGTGTGCTGTGGGGAGGCTGGGAGGCCTTGAGCAGGTCAGCAAGGGCTACAGGAGGGAGGATGGTACTGCAGACGTGCGGATGCTACGGACTTCACACTCCACAGTAGAATCCTTGGGGTGGGGGGTGGGGGAATCAGCAGGAGAAATTTACTGGGGCAATTTATAATCTTCCCTGCTGACTTCCCATTGACTTTGCAGGGAAGGTCGCAACTGGTGATCACGTGACGTTGTTCACTGTGATGTTATCATGAGCCAGGCCACCTGACTGTCTGGATCACAGTCATGTGATCATGGGGATACTTTGACAGTGGGAATTTTAAGGACTGATGGTCCTTAATTTTTTCAACTCCGCCATAAGTTTCAATAATTGCTGAAGTAATGGGTGTAAGATGAACATTTTCTGTAGCTTATGTGCTTGCCAAGAAATACCTCAATATCCCAAAATCCCACCACTGATGCTGTAATGCAACATAGATTTTCTTTCTTTTTTCTGCATGGCAAGGTGATTTAGATATGTTATTTTCAGAATTTGAGGTCACTTACTAAAATGGTTAAAATAGTTTTTCGCCTAGCATTGAATGGAAACCGTAATAGCAGTGTGTTACGTTGGAAATGGCGGAGGTTTCATAAATTATTTAAGAGACAATATAGAAGAGTTGGTCTTCTCTGTCAAAATGTGAATGGAACTAGATGAGACCTTTTTATTAGTTATGCGATGTAATTTTGCTTGTATGTAAGAACTAAATTAGGTATCAGTAGTAGGTTAACTCGTGAAAATTGGAACTTGGAATACTTCCCCTAAAAATCTCTCTGTAACTTCTTAACACTCTGCTCTGAAGAAATAGATGAGAAATATCTGTTATTATAGATAGGCACATCTAGCATTATAGAAACAACCGTATCATTTTGAAAAGAAACATGCTCACAAGTCTGTCATTTTGATCTCTAATATTATTTTGCTTTACAGACAAAAACTGGAATTGCTTTGCTATATGATGAAATATCTGAAAATGCCTATGAAATCCGATTGAAGCTTTCAAAAGAGGTACTAACAATTCAAAAACAAGATGTCATCTGTGTTAGTGGAAGTGTTCCCAATGCAAATGTAAGTGCTTCAAATCTTATGGTGGGTTTTTATTTTTTATATTTTTTTATCCCACTGTTAACTGTTTTTATAAATAACTTAAGATGGGAAATATACCTAGAACTCCTTCCTATTTTCCCTACCACAACAATCCTGTGAGGTGAGGTGGGCTGAGAGAGAATGACTGCCCCAAAGTAATCTAGCTGACTTTCATGCCTAAAGCAGGACCACAAATCACAGTTTGCAGGCTTCTTTAACCACTAGACCAAACTGGGTCTTATAATCATTATTGTCATCAGTATTGAATTATGTTATCAATATTGCTATTATGTTTCAAAACTTCCTGAAAGTAATTTTCAAAATTTCTAATTCTAAAACAAGTCATTTCAAAGTGATATCATTATAACAAACTCTACAAAGAGAAACTAAAGTTTAATTATTTGAAAACAATAGCAAAAGTATATTTCCCTTTGTAGCTATTAGACATGTGGCAGATTAACTTAGTGCTCTTAAATATTTTGGATGGTAGTCCCCAGAATTCCCATACTGTTTTGTGTACTGGGAATTGTCATTTAAAATGTCAGAGCTTCAAAGTTGTCTACGCTGCATGTAGACGTAACTATGAAAAATGTATTTGGGACATTATTCTATCAGATCTGCTCAAGAGTTCAGCATTTGAACAATTGGCTTGAGCCATGTTGATTCTTACAAGGCTTCTGCCTTAGTTTGCAATCTGTGCTTTGTGCCTAATTTAGGGCTTTGCCCACTAAAGGTTTGTTTATCAGCAAGTGAACTGGAGTTGTGAGTAATTAACTGATGGCCCTCAACCCCTTTCCTTTCCTTGGAAAGCTAACATGCAGGGCTGGTTGGCTGATGCAGTGCAAAAATAGCTGATGAATTGTCTGTTTGAATATGATTTATTCATCCCCATGGTTCCAGCAACTCAGCTGGTATTTGTAGAAGGGCAGAAGAGCAACAGGAAGCAAGAAGGAGAGAAACAGCCATAACTTTAAAAATGATTTCTTTTACAAGAAAAAGCCCAGAAAGTTTTGATATGACTGTTATTTCACTGTTATTTTCATTCTATGCAGTGTTGTTTCTTTCCCTTCACCTGACCTCTTTTTTTCCTTCCCTTTCATTACAAGAATGCTTTTTTTTATCCTTTCTATTCTTACTCGTAAAATTACATTTTTTACATAATGTAAAATCACTGAACCTATAGTTACACCAGTCAGATCCCACCCCTGGTTTCATCTACCATTCTCCTTCCTGTTGTCATTTTTTTAACCTATTTCAGTTTATTTCACTTATTACCCTAGATCAATGTAGCTTCCCTGCTTCAAATCAAATATTGAACATGTCATTATGTATGTAGGTCAGCCAGGTGATAGACTGCCTTTTTTGCATATCTAAATAATTCTAATAAGGAAAGTTGTCTTATATCTGGTTTTTAGAACATCAATTTTTGAAGTTCTTCTTGCTGGATTTTTGTCCCAGATTTGTTAAGATTGTAACTAACAGCAAAGAGAATCTCATAGTGATTTTAAAAAAAACTTTTGTAATATTTCAGTTAGGAGTCCTTGTTTTCAGAATCTTAAAGGAAGATTGAACAATCTTCTTTAAAATTTCCTGGAAATGGATCAGCTGCTTTGCCACCAAGTAGGTTCATCACACTATGTTCTGAAGTGAGGGAATTATTCAAAGAAGATACATGCTTTGGTAATTATTATATAATTGGGCTGTTACTGGATAGCAATTCTGGAACAAAACATGAATTGTCACAATGATTATATCCAAATCTTTCATGAAGAATTTTCTATAGTAGGTACAGATCTGAGAAAAACTTGAGCTCCTCTTGCATAATCTTTTGGCACTCCTCATGAATGGTTTATTTTAACCTAGAGCCTAGGATTAGAAGTCATGGATGTGTAAAGATTATCTATAAACTATTTAAATCCACTATTGTCCTATATCTAACTTGTTGCTAAATATCATAGTGAATCAACTATTATCTGATTATATGAGAAACCTTAGTCCTAAATAGTAGGCCAGTGCTTTGAATTCAACCTGGAAAGGGTGCTTCAGAGTATGAACATAGGCGGGTTCTTCGGTGACGGACCGAAATCTGTGATCATGCGTGGTTTCGATCCGTGCTCGCTGCCGGAGTTCCCTGAGCCAGCTGGATTCGGGGCTAAGCCATCCCATAGAGTTGGTGAAGGTGGGGGAGACCATGAGCAGAGTCGAAGAGAGTCGCATCTCTCCTCCTCAGCTGGCCATTACTCCCTTTCCCGAAGGCGGTTGCAGCAGTGGTCAGAAATGGCCATCTCAAAGAAGAACTCAACCGGAAAAGAATGTGCAGGAGGAAGATAAGAAGAGAAAGTTTTGGTTGACTGGGTTAAACTGAAAAAGCAACAATGTAAGGTACCCTGGAATTTGAACTATAAAAAAATAACATTGTTCCCAAAGAAGACTTTGAAGCAGCGAAGGAGAGAGGGAAGGGAAAGGATTTGGCTTTTTTTTTCTTCCCTTCCTTATACTGACAGCTAAGAGATTTAAGTAAGAAATTGACAAAAATTCACTTTGACAACAATAGGCATTTAAGCTGAAAATAAAATGTCAAAGGGATAATAAAGACTTTTGGATACTCAAAAACCTTTAAAACCAGGAAAGGAGAGAAAAGGAAAGAATAAAAGGGCGGGATCTGGAAAAATGGAGGAGACTGCCTGGAACTAAAAGGAACTTACAGTGAAACCTTAACAAGATTCCTAAAAGATACATTCTAACTGAAGCTTTATAACAAAATAATGGAACCCCAGGAAGTGAAAGTGGAAAAAAGAAGCAAGAAGAAACAGCTTTGGATTATTTGGATTACTTGGTGATTTTTGGATTTTTGGCTATTGGATTTAAATGACTAAAATCAATTGGGTGGTTGTTTAAAAGTGTTTAAAATGGCATCACTTTTAGAAGAACTGTAAATGGAACTTAAAAAACAGAAAGGAGATTCACAAGAAGGAAGAGGTTCTTTTGGCTTCGTATTTCAATTTTTAGAAATGGAAATCTGGAACTGTGAGAAACAACAAGAAAAGCTTGTTGAACAAGAAGGTTGGGACAAAGAAGAAGCCATCTTTAATGATCAAGTAATTTTATGTGGGGGAAAAAAGGAAAGGGGGGAAAGAGAGTGAAAAGTTTAAGATTTGAAAAAACAACAAAAAAAAGAATAGTTTGAAAAATAATTACAATATTAGGAAGCAACAGGAGAGAGGATCACAGAAGAGAGAATTAGAAATAGAGAGACAAGGGGGCAAAAGGGGGAGGGAGAAGAAGAGGGGGACGAAGGAAAAGAAAAGAAGTTATAAAAGACAGAAACAAGATATAGAGAAACAGGGAAAATGTATAAGGATTGAAAGTATAAGCCTATTTAGAGATAATGGGTGAAAGTTTAATTGAAACAAGGATTCTGCAAAGGTACATAAGATAGTATTGTTATATTAGAAATAGAAATAATTTTAGAAAATATGAAACAATGTATGATTAAAATGATGAATAAAATACTTATTGTAATGCAGTGGAATGTTTGTTAATAAATAAATGAAATAAAGTGAATGAGAGAATGAAATTAGGAAAGGATGGGAACATTTTAATTATTATTAATGATTTATAAAAACATAAGTGAAGAGAAATATGGAAAAAAGAATTAATTATGGAAAGTTTATTAGTGTTCACAAGGAAGTATGATATTCAGTTGAAAAGAAATGCTAAAGATGTTAAGATTCTAAATATTAATGATAGAATTGAATTGGAATGGAATGAGTGTTTTATTATATACATATACATATACATATACATACACACACACATATATATATATATACAGAAGCCTGATGATGGCAGATGAGATTCTGCTGAAGCGTTGCTACAACTTTAGAAGAACTACAATGACGTGGGAAAATACCCGAACCAAGCCGAACAC